TTTAAACCCCTTAATGTCACTATTTAAAATTTAGGAGAACACAATGATTAAAAATCAAATATTGCAGACCAAAAGTGTCAATTCAAAATTGTTGTTGACGAACGACAAATTCATATTAAATATTTTAAAACTATAGTAATGGAATGTTAGAGTTTACTTAGTAAGAAAGACAACAAAAAATAAACAATGGTTTTTCAAAAATTCCTAAAAGTACTTCACATTGGCATCTACCTTCACTACTAGTTTTTATAATCACGATAGCTAACTACAAGAATTTGAAACCAATAGGCACCACATATACAACAATTTATGTAGTAGCAACTATAATAAACTTAAGACTAACCATGCAAAAGAGACCAAGTATATGAGATATTAGTGATAGGAATAAATGAAACAAAAAAAAGGAGAAAAATGGATTTAAATAGAATTCATATTATCCATTTAAGTAAATTTCAATTTAAATTGAATCTCATTGCATTTTAAAATTCTTAATGTCACTATTTAAAATTTAGAAGAATATTATGATTCAAAATCAAAATATTGGGGTCCAAATGTGTAAATTTAAAGTTGTTGACGAATGGTAATTTGATGTTGATCATTAGGCATTCTTAAATTTCCATTAGTTGTCCTAAATATGCCTAAAATTATAAACTTTAGGGTTTAGATTTGTTTTAAACAAAATATTAAAGACCAAAATTAGTGTGATTCTTAACTTGGTGTAAACCCATACAAATTAGTGATCCATTTTTGTCACCAATGCTGAATTCTCATGCACCAAATCTCGCAAGAAATGCACTAAATTTTCTTAAGAATTACACCAACTAGGCACAACTGAGACCAGCCCCAATCCCATGTCTGCTAATCTAGTTACATGATCACATCTCTTAAACATTCATCCAATCCCAGGTTGGCCAAACGAAGCATGTCTGCTAGCATCCCAATGCTATCAAAATAGAAAAACAAACAAAAAAAGGGGAAAAAAATTCTATGTACCGTTCTAATTCTAGGAGATTCCATAGCACAATATAAAGAAGAAAATGGCCAGAAAAAATTGCTTAGTAATTAAGGTGCCATATGGATTTAGTAGAGATGTATTTGATCTATAATTATTGGTACAAGATGGAAAACATATTTGAATGCACAACCGTTGTGATCAATTTTTATTTTTTTCTTCACTCATTAGAGTTCCTCTATAAGAATATGATGGTGTAGAGAATGAGGAAAGGAAATAGCAAATTGTTTTCAGAACTAATGTGCTTCAACTTTTACAAAGGGGGAAAAAAAAGAGGATTTTTGGTAATTGAAGCGGATTAAAAGGAGAATGTTGAAATTTCGGTGCGAATAGATAACTGATGCCAGTCGAAGACATTAAATTTCAGCACATTTTGTTTGGTTTTGGACAGAAATTTGATTTGGCTTTATCACAGCTGTTGTTTCCCTTCCAAATGACTGGTTAAATCACAACCGTGATTTAGTTGGAACCGGGGGCAAAAAGGAACTAGTTGGACAACTTGCAAGGCCCCAAATTAAGGGAGTTTCATCCCCGTCAAATGAGAAGGTAATGGGGACAATATTACGTGATACAGTAAGTAATAGTTGTACTTGGTAGGCGTCCCTTGCCTAGTGCATATCAGACAAGGCCTAGCATAATAATTAAAAACCGTCAGCCACCACCAAGCCTTTTAAGGCTTTGGGTGGGGTCGAACCTTACCTCCCATCAATTTGTCACAAGTGTGGCTTTTCAACTAAAAATTCAGACGGGTGTGTGGTGCATTCGTCTGGTCCGGTGGTGATTCTGTTTTCAGTGGTCCAGTTGGGTCTCCTCTCTAGTTAGGTTAGAATAAAGTAGGAGTAGAAGTAGAGTTGACGATTAAAAAAAATAATAATAATAATAATTAAAAGATTTTTTTATTAGTACTGCATTGTCATATGGTGCTCGTGGTATATTTAATATTTTATTTTCCCTATCAAGTCCTATTCTAATCCAGTTCTAACAAACTGTGCTTAAGTACAATAGAGGAAAAGGGAAATCTAGAGAAATATCAATCTTTGTTTTTTTTTTTTTTTTAAATTAGGTTAGAGGAAGCCTTAACTGCCCATTAAGAAGTTCCCGTCTTTGCCAATACATCCATCCACCCACAATTAACCTCTCTAAGTATATGCTGCACTTCAAGTTGCTAGATTATTTTTTTTTAAAAAAAATTTCTACAAATGAAAAAATAGGATTTAAGAAACGAGGAAAGAGTAGTAGGATTAGAATCCAAAAGGACCATTAAATCCTAGACTCTCAACCTTAGTAACTAGATCAATCTCTCCTCATCAAGTTGCTAGATTTTGCTCGTCGAATAAACTATAATCCATAAAAGAACCAAAGCCAATATAGTGTTTATCATGTCTGCAATGGACAAAAACTCAGAAAAGAACCTAAAAACAAATTTAGCTCGAGGGACACCACTCATAAGCACTGGGCCATCTTCAATCCGCGAGCAGATTGAATTCTATCATTTGGTTGTTGGATAATATCTATTATTGCAACTTGTTCAGTGTGAACTGAGCAAAACTTTCAAAGCGGGCGATATTGGACTATATCGCCAGTCTCAAGTGGACGCCTGAATTCACTAAAGTATCAATGCACCTTGTCGGCATGACTAAAGTCCAATGCATCCTCCCTCTCATTAGTTCACACAATTCATAATTTTTATGCATTGCCAACCCTTTTCGTCTTCTTAAAATTTTTTAATAAAGCAGCTGGTAATCCTAATCTAATAGAGATGCAAATATAGTAGAATTATTTATCATGCAAGGAATTTGTACTTTTTTTTTTTTTTTTTTTACTGACGGAGTGGGTTTTCGGGTCAAGTCCGTAAAGGCAGCCCGACTAATCCCACTGCGGCCCGACCCAGCGCCCCAACCAGACCTAGCACGTTAAATACACGGAGGAGCCGATGTTGCTGCGGAGGTTCGACCCCAGGACCTGACGGTCCCGAGGACGAGGCGCCAACCACCAGCCCATTCATGTGGGGGATTTGTACTTGCTTATGCATAAAATGTATATTTTGTTGTTACACAAAGTTGTACGTTTTGCACCGTGATCAATAAAAATGCACTACTGGTAGTTAATTAAATTTCTGCCACTTTCATTAATTAAAGTTCCATGCGAAATTTTTTTAACTAATTTTTGCATTTTGTGCTTTTAATCTCAGGAAACTGCATAGTCAGCTTAAAGAAGTAAATGTGTGTCAAATTTGATCTTGACGATAAATTAGAAAAAGGAAATTTGATGAATGGAATGAGCGACTGATAAGGTACTGTCAATATCCAAAAGGGGGAATTAAGGACAATGCTGGAAGTATATATATAAATGATGACTTAATTCAGTTAATTAAGCCAAGTTGAATCTGTTCTTGTTAATTTCTTCATTTTTGATTGAAAGACTTGGAACAATATCTTTCTTGCACATTGTTAGTTCTGTTCTATTGTGGTGTTGAGCAATATTTCGATCTTGTTTGTAGAACCTGATAGCAAATCAAAATAAAACACTGAATTTCTTTTAAAAATGGTAGTGGAAAATAAGGTTCGGTATCTTTAAAAACACCATCTGCTTTGCTTCTACGTACTAATCTAAATAGAAGCCAGTAAGTCAGACAAAACTTAAAACTTTTTTTTTTTCAAAACTTTTTCCTAACAAGGAAGGAGTGAGATTTAAGAAGCGAAAAAGAGGTAGGGGACGAAACTTCAAACTACAACTCAACAGTTTTGAATGATAGTAAATGAGGTTAAGTACAAAAAATGAACCTATTTTTCTTTTATGCATAATTTCTTTATAGACACAATATATATGTGCAAACTTCTTGGAAGAAACTCAACATTTTTGTCATTTTTAATCTGGAACCTGAAGCATGAAATTGTGTCATTATCATTTCTCAATATCACCAAGTTCTTAATTTTTTTTAAGCTTTTTTCTTCACTTCCTTCTTGAATCCTTTGACAATAAATCTCTTTCCCTGGTAATTGCCTGGTTATATGGGATGTCAATGTATCCAAGGGCTAAATGAACATTACTAGAAACTAGCCTTCGTCAATTTCCCATCCAATAGATTTCTTCTTTTCAGATAATCAGGACAAAATTTTAAGGGCAACAAAAATGTAGATGCTAAATCATTAAGTAAAAGTTATAGCTGAAACGACTGCTAAGTTACTTTTGAAACCGAATTATTCCTTCTTCTCCTCACAAGTATTTTAATTTTCACTATTATTTTGTTTGACCAACTATTGTTGTACAGTAGATACAATTTTCATAATGATATTTTGCTCTTTTATACTTTTTTGACATCAAATTAATTGTTTTAATTTTGACTCCAATTTGGTTTAGCTGGAATTTGAACAAAAGTGTTTAAATTACACCATCATCTGCTTTTCACTACTATTAACAATTGGCAGACTAAAATCCCCCATGGCAATTTGTCAATAAAATGAAAGAAATACATAATTTAGAACTGGCAAAAATGAATTAGTTTTCGAAACTATCAAGTGCTTAACCAGTATGTTAAAAGCTGAAATAAAAAACAATACAAGGAGTTCTTATATCACAAAAAAAAAAATAGTACTTTTCATTTTTGCCAAGAACAAAATACTTAAAAAGAATAAATAAATAATACCACTTATGCCTAAGGCAATTCCTGTCGTTTCTGATGTCCTTTTCAAATGAAGCAGACTTCTCAGGCTTGAGAGTCTTCATTTGTTGACGTTCCAAGCATTCCCTACTTTTGGGTCCATATCAACGATATGCACCACACAATAGTGTCGACATCAATGCACATAATCTGAGATTCTAGATTATCATTCAAGAAATTTGTATTATCTCAGTAATCTGAGCAAAACAATCATTATCACCAAAATAATTAAACAAATTCTTGGTCAAGAGAATAAATCTAAAATATAAGAAAATGTTGAATGAGGCTCAGCTATAAATACTGAATGAGCAGAGGCTATGTTCCTCACACTAACCTTCGCTCATCACATATCCAACACTCAAACAATGGCCAATTTAAGTTTTTCTATGCTTGTTTTCGTCATTGCCTCCATCTATCCCGCATTTAGCTTTTGTAGAACCACATCTTCTTTATCTACTGCTTCAGAACAACTGAAGTATTGGCATGAAAATGTACAAAACAACATGCCTGGAGTTCTTCTGTCCAAATTATCTCCACTCAATAAAGATGATAGTGAGTTTTTCACTTCATTAGCATCCAAACAATCATTTTCATCTAATGCCAAGTTTTGCAGTCTTGCAAATCTAGCTTGTTATGCAGAGATGAATAGCATCAAGCCCTTAGGTAATGGTTATGGCTATAATAATAATAAAGCATCTCCAGGACTTGAAAATGTTGACCCTTTTTCCTTTTTTAGAATCTCCATTCTTAAACAGGGAAATAGAGTGCATCTCTCAAATTTGGAGGACCAGTTTCCTCAACGATCATTTCTTCCTTCTCAAATCGCATCCAAAATTTCTCTAGATGAAAGTAATCTTGAGAAAGTATTTCCTCAATCTTTTGTGAACCCCAACACAAAAGGTAATATTGACACTACACTTCTTTATTGTAACTCTGCAGCTTTAAAAGGAGAGATAAAAAGCTGTTCTACATCCCTCGAGAGCATGATTGAATTCTCAAAGACTACATTAGGTAGCAAGCGCTTGGTTGCATTGACTACTAAAAGTACAAAGGGTTCAGGAAAAGAACTTATTATTCAAAAAATTAAAAAGCTTACTTTTGCCATATGCTCTCCTCGACTGAAATCTATGCAGTGGATGTAGTTGAACCTAAAACAAAAGTTCCAGTCAATACAATCTTAGCAATATGCCATATGGATACCTCTGCATGGCCATCATATCATGCAGCATTCAAGATACTCAAGCTCTCCCCGGGAAAAGGTGAAGCATGCCACTGGATGACACAAATTGATCTTCTTTGGATTAGTGCTGAGGAAAATGTGTAGGGTTAAACCTGAACACAATTGCTTATTAGTGTGTATCTGCTTGTGTTGTATTATCATTCCTACAAACTTTGAGTGTTTTATTCTCCATTTACTGTGAACAAATAAAAGTGGTGTATGAATCCTTGCTTATTCATGTATTGTATATCTGTATTGTTGTTTTCATAAGAAGCTGATCCTTCTTTTTCACTGTAAGTGTTTGATATATATTCGAAGTTTGTTCTTGGCTATTTGATATTTCTTCATTGTATTTATGCTGCTTGCATATTGATGTCTAACGCGTTACCATGAACGTAAAGCATAATTTTTTTTCACACATAGTTTAAACAGATGCTTATGTTATTGCAGAAAAGGTAACAGTAATTCTGTAAGAACCAGAAATTATCATTTGAATGTTCAATTCAGATACAAAATGTGATGCTTAAAGGAACTCATGTTTTCTGATTTTCTCTATGAGACTATAACTGTACACATCAACTTTCACTTACTTGTTGACCGAAAAGGAGGGGGAATCTCAGTTGACCCTTCGTTAAGATTTTGTGGGCAAAAGTTCTAATATCTTTTGACACAACTTTGAACAATTGTGAGATCAGTAAGGGATAACAAGTTGAATTTGACAGGCTGATTAATATGTGTGTCGTCTGCACATACAAAAGTTTCATTAATTTTCTTAACATTGTCAACAATTGAATAAAATATGATAAATTTGAAGACTTAGAATGTAATGTATCTAAATGAGGATTTAACATACAAAGTGAAAATGAGATCACAAGTTAGGAAGCGAAAAGTAAAATTAATCCTCACTAATTATTTAATAATAGCCTAAGTACTTATCCATACTATGAGATGTCCAATGATATCAAATTTGTCGGTTACTACAGAACGAGACACTTGTGTGCATAAATTCATGAAGTTCACACTTGACCAAAATCCCATTTGCTTGAGCATAAAGATGATGAAAACCTGAACTGATAGTCACATCAACTTAACTGAGAAAGGCCAAATGGGACTAGCAGACAGAAATGATTCAATCTACTAGATTCAATGGCTCCAAACGAACTTAAAAAGGGGGCTCCAAAAAACTGTCTTGGATTATAAGAAACGCCAAATGGGCAGAAGGGCAGAGAAAGTTCAAAGTTTCAAATTTGTCGGGCAAGTGGTTTTTGCAAGCGCCATAAATAGGGGTAGCAATCGGGTCTAAATTGGGTTGACAGGTCAGGTTGAGATCCGAGAATAACAGAAAACTCGCTGATTCAAACCTGACTTGCCAACTCGAAATGGGTCAGGATACCAAACCCAAATCCAAAATTTTCGGGTTAGTGGATCGATCCGAAATGACCCGAAACTTAATTTAATTTATTAATTTACCACTGTAATTTCTAATAAAACCAATTTCGTACAAGATTAATTACATAATCAAGTAATAAAATTTTAAATAAATAATTTCAAACCAAATCTAAAATAAATTAAAACATCGTAAAAGTGTTTTATCCCAAACCAAATATAAAATAAATTAAAACAGTATAAAAGTAAAAAATAATATAATACATTATTTGTCCAAATATAATAATTTCAACTTCACACAAGTCAAATAAATTCATTTAGGATTAAGTGATTAATACCTTTGGAAAAAAAGAATAACTTAGTTTAGTTAGATAAAATAATTTTTTTGTTTATTAAATTATTTTTAATTCGTAAACAGATTATTGGGTCATATTGGATTACCCACGGATTGACCCGAATTCGACCCGTTTTCTTTTCAGGTTCAACTCGATTCTGACCCGAACCCACGAAATTTCAATCCAAACCCATTAATTTCGTGTTAGATTCATGTCATGTTTTCAGGTCGTGTCGAAAATTGCCACCCCTAACCATAAGTGTATTATTATATATGGCAAAAACTTGGATGAACCTGGTCCAGGGCCCCACCCACGGATCTTCTGCTTGTTAATCAGCCACGCCAAACTCTTGCTTCTTAGCCTTGAACAAATGCTTCTCACTTTCTCCATTCACCGTCCATGGTTACATAACATAGCACGCTCGCAATGAATGCTTGAAAGGAAGACACGAACTTAATTACTTTAGATAGCAGAAGACCACTTTTTTGAAAAATAAACAAGTCATGCATAAAATTCTTCCACTTCAACTTGAATGAATGTCAAATCTTCAGCAAGCCACATGATTACTCATACACAAGCCAAACCCAAACCCAAACCCAAAATTCTCTAGATACCCAAGTTTCCTAATTTCCCAACACAAACCCATAGATAATTCAAAGCCAAATCCAATAAAAAAAAATTTCAAAACATCTCTCACATTTTGCAAATTAATTTTTTTCGTTCCTCACTTTTAAAAGTGTAATTTTATGTCTCTTACAAATTTATATTGGTCAAATTTTGTCCTTAAATAGATTTTTGACTAGTTTTTTTTGCCTAATCCACCATGTGCAATTGAGAATATGGCATCAAAATACAATAAAGCTATTAGTGAGGGATGAAAATTTCATTTTGTGAAATGTGAGGTATGACAAAACTCATTTTGTGAAATATGAGGAATACAAAAAATTATTTTATGAAATATGGGAGACTATGAATAAGATTATGTGAAATGTGATTTGACAATTTATCCCCTAAAAAATGATCACGTGCAAGGTACATGGTGGATTCCGATCAAAAATTAGTTAGAGATTTAGGTAGGGACCAAATTTAACCAATATGAATTTGTAAGGGATACCAAAATTACACTTTTAAAAATAAGGAACAAAAAAATAATTTTATAAAATATAAGGGACGTTTTGAATAATTTTTCCAAAAAAAATCCTCAAAATTTACAATTTTATGATGCAACAAAGTCTTCTAAGATTTGTCCAGAAGAGTCTTTCCGTGCATACTCAATCTTCATCATGCCGGATTGACAACTTCATCTCACTATCATAATCTGAAAAAAGGAAAAATCAAAGAGAAAAAGAACATAAGTTGAACCTTTTTAATGGATAAAATTTTCTTGTGTTTCAAAGCAAAATCAAAACAGAAGAAAATACACTATAACTAATTATTAATCTTGTAACTAGATCTGATGCAAAATTAACGAGATCCGTGGGGGGCCTTGCAATTACTAATGCTAAAAGGCTAAATTTTGTCTCTTGATGAAAAAAAAAGGAAGCAAAGTCATAAGAAATATTAGATGTGTAAATAATTATGTATACATCTTTGTGATACTCACTTGGAAGTATCTCATATGGCAATCTGCATTCCCCTTGACGATTTTGTTTCTTCACAATCTCTCAAAGTTTTTATTTTTTTCTTTCTCCCTCTAATTGATCTTCTCCATAAACACAGCAAAGCCCAAAGAAGTATCTAATTTATGTAATTTAATTTGCCTAAACTCTCTTCTATTGCTTTCCAGAAGAAACTTGATGAATGAGGAGAAAATTTAAATCTGGAGAATAGTTGGGTTTATTTCTCCAAAGCTAGGTTTCTTTACGGCCTTTTCGTTTTCATTCCTTTTGTTGAAGCAGACAAGAACGGAACTCTGCTTAACTTTGGTTACAAAGAGCGACTGGCTGTTTAAAATCCACAGGGTCCATAAGTCGTTCATAGACCGGGCCCATCCAAGTTTTTGCAGTTATATTAATATATGTCTGTACACTTATTGCCAATCCTCGGTGACATATTTTTCTATACCAATCCAATGTCACCTATAGTATTGCGTCAAGTGTCCTGTTATTATTTACACTTTAATTTTTTAATAATTCAACTTGATTTGGTTTAACACAAGTGTAAATAATAATAGGACACTTGGCACAATATTATAGGTGGTATTGGATTGGCATAGAAAACATGTCACCGAGGATCCCAAGTGCTGTACACTAGATTTGTATGTTTGTAAAGCAAAATGGAGCCAGTACTGAAACAAACTAAAAATATGTGAAGAAAATTTTTAGTGACGGATATCTGGCTGTAAACGAACAGACATTTGATTTTGAACGAACAAACATTTTTATTTTGAAGACATTTTTTTAGTATATTTAAAGGATAAGTTCGAGTTTAAGTTCGAGAGTTTTGGCTTGTTTGGCTACTAACTTGATCCATAAAACTCACGAACCTAAGTTGTCAACATGTAATTATATATAAGAGTACCAAACCAACTAAAAATATACATAGATATAATTGAATACCGTGAAGGAAGTTGATTATGGTATTTTATGTAGAAAGAACAAAAAAAAATTGCTAAACACATATAAATTACTTGTTTTACAGCAACAAAAGAAAAAAGGACTTACCTCATGACATTGCTATTTCTCTTGCATAAGTCTCCATTGGATTATATGTCCGTATCTTATAAACAAATATCAACATAGTATTCACAAAATTATAGGAGGCTTAGTTTGGATTGAGAAATTTTATGAACTATTTGAAATCTATCCAAATTGTTTGAATTGTTTAAATTGTTTAGGTGATATTTTGGATTTGTAATTCATCAACTATCTAAATACATTTTAAATACTATACTAATTAATGATTTACATCCAAATACCTCCTAAGTAATCTAAACAACTAGAAAGATTTGAGTGAAATTAAATCTTTCATCAAATCCCTTAATCCATAGCAGCCTAATAGTATAGTATAGACAAAAATATCAAATGTCATAAGCTAACAACCATGGAGCAAAACATCTCCATCTGCCAAGAAATGTAAATGGATAAACGAAGGATAATAGGGGCTTTTCCATGACTGGATTTTGCACACTTGGACACTTAAAAGTAGCTCTACTGTCTTATTAAGAACTTAATTTTGACACTT